GAAGGCAGAGCTTGCTGAGGAATTGGATGTGGATGAGAGAGAAACAGGACTCAGGTAGGTTTGGGGCCGGTGAATATGGTGTTGCCATCTGCCAACACGGGGAAGAGGGAAAAGCAGGCCTGGGGGCAGGAAGCAGGAGAGCACATTAAGAGTTTGGTTTTAGACAAATGTGAGGTCCTCGGAGGTAGCAGGTGGGGATGTCGATGAGGCGGGAGGATGTGTCAATCAGGTGCTCAGGGAGGAGACGGGGCTCGATGGGAAACCAGACACACTTCCAGCACAAAAATGCCGTTTTTCAGCCCGAGGCCAGGTGAATCCCCCAGGAAACGAGCGGATGGAGATGAGGTCTGAGCATTAAACCTCAAAGGTGAGTGAGAAGAAACAGCCTAGAAAGAGGAGAAGCAGGGGAGGTGGGGTCCTGGCAGCCAGGGAAGAACAGGTGCAGGAAGGAAGGGTGGTCAGAGGACAAGTGCTGCTGGAGGGTCAGGTGAACGAACAGAAATGACCACTGGGTGAGGGTCGCCGTCCCTGGGACAGGCAGAGTCAATGGTGCGGCAGCTTCGTGGAAACAGGCTGGGAGGAAGGAGAGAAAGCAGGTGCACACAACTCTTTTGAAGAAATTTGCTTCAGCCCTAGCCGGTTTGGCTCAGGGGATAGAGCATCGGCCTGTGGACTGAAGGGTCCCAGGTTTAATTCCGGTCAAGGGCACATGCCTGGGTTGCAGGCTTGATCCCCGTAGGGGGTGTGCAGGAGGCAGCCAATCAATGATTCTCTCTCATCATTGATGTTTCCATCTCTCTCTCCCTCTCCCTTCCCCTCTGAAATCAATAATATATATATATATATATAAACACACACACACACACACACATATATTTTTTTTTTAACAGAAAAAAATTGCTATAAAGGAGAGCAGAGACATGACGCCACGGCTAGGAGCATGTGGCATAAAGAAAAAAGTGTTTTAAGATGTGAAATATTACAGCACGTTTATATGCTGATGGCAATGATCCAGTAGGGGGCAGTGCATGTAGGTTAAGAAAACTACGTTAGGCAGAAGGGCCATAAATTCTTCACATGACTTGAAAAGCAATAATCCCTAATTACACAAAATGCTGATTAAAAAAATAAAAGATATTCACTTTCTAACTTTCAAAAATCAGAATGATTCTAGTAAATGGGTAAAAGAAATCTTACAGGCATATCTGTAGTAATTAGAAGTTGGTCCAAAGCAAAATAAATTGTAAAACTTTGAGAAATATCATTTTAACATGCAAAAGCCAAGAGTTTATCATAAAAATGCCATTTAAAATATCATATTTCATAAAACTGGCCTTTCTAGATGATGCAATACAACTCAAGATGAAAATGTCTAAACTTATTCTTTTCTCCAATTCCCACGAGCAGGATATACTTACAGGCTGCACTGGTTTAGTCTGTAAAATTTGTGCCTCGCCACACAGAGTCTCCACATGTATTTTGCTGTTTCCATGTCTTCCTAGTAAGTAAAATATGCATAAAATAGATGAAAGCACATTCACAACGTGATACAGAGTTTATCTGGGGACAAGACGTAATTATGTCAAGTCACTTTTAACACACTGGGACTCTTTCATTTTCCAATACTGTGTCTTCACAGGAATGTGAAGGATAATTAGGATTTAAATTATGAAGACAAAAAAAAATCTATTCAAACAGTGTGATTCTTGTATTAAACAGCTTCAAAATGACTTAGAAATTTAAAAATTATGAAAATGTCAACTTTCCTTTTGACAAATAGATAACTCAAAGACATTTTTATTTTTTTATTTTTTTTAAATATATTTTATTGATTTTTTACAGAGAGGAAGGGAGAGGGATAGAGAGTCAGAAACATCGATGAGAGAGAAACATCGATCAGCTGCCTCCTGCACACTCCCTACTGGGTATGTGCCTGCAACCAAGGTACATGCCCTTGACCGGAATCGAACCCAGGACCCTTGAGTCCGCAGGCCGACGCTCTATCCACTGAGCCAAACCGGTTAGGGCTCAAAGACATTTTTAAACAAAACATTTGACTCAGTGACTCAATACTGCCATGTGTCAAGGGAGCAAAAGCAAATACCTGTGAAATGATCTTTCTACAGAGCCATTCACTTAATGGAAATTAAGATATTAGGGCTCACTTTCTCCCCTATGTAGGTGCTTAAATTTAGTAGTTATCTAAGGATTCATTCAACAATATTCACTGAGCAATTACTTTTGTCAAATGCACTATTATGACAAAACTACCATTATGTAAAATGTTATAAAATTGTACACTTTATAAAACTGTAAAATATTATCATTTTAATGCCACCCACCCCCTCCTCCCCCAAACACACACAGAAACGCTAATGTGTTAACTTTCAGGAAAAACATTCCATGCTATTCCTACTGCCCACTCACCGTTTGAAACTGGATGGTCTCCTCTTTACTCGCCAGCTCTAAGGCAAAGAACGACTTATTGTGGGACATGTTAGCAATATCGTGCCACCTAGAGAACAACAAACAGAAAATGGCAATGTGAGTGCTCATGCGTACACCAAGGAGGTGGGACATATGATTTCCATGTTTGAGCTTGATACATAAATTAATATTTGATTGTCTTGGAAATAAAACAGTTGTTTTAATCCTCTAGCATGCATTTTCTAATTGAAGTGATAACACATAGCCGCAAAAAGTAAGTGCAGGTATACTAAACAAGGCCAGAGAATGCTTGAAAATGTAAAATGTATTTATCCCCATTTGTCAGACTAGTTAGATCAAAGATCCCTATATTAGCTGGTTGCCAATGACCCCTTCCTTCATTCAGCAAACATCTTACAAAGATGCATTATGGCAAGGTCAGAACTATGTTAGGTCCCAGGGACACCAAGGTCAGTGGGGCTCAGTGCTTCCCTAGAAAGGCACACACCTGGGTTGCAGGTTCGCTTCCCATTCCGCGTGCAAGAAGCAACCAGTAGATGTGTCTCTCTCACATTGATGTTTCTTTCTATCTCTCCCTCCCTCCCTCCACTCCCTCCCTCCCTCCCTTCCATTCTCTCTAAAAAGCAATGGAAAAAATATCCTCAGGTGAGGATTAACAAAAAAGAAAGAAACAGCCCTAGAAACCAGAGCTCATATGAAAAATTCACATCAAAAAAAGAACGCCTCCATATGGGAAGAAAGGGACGCATTTTTAAGAATTTCCTAAGTCGAGCCCCATTACAAGCACTATTTTCTGCACATCTGGCTTTGAAGAAAGCGGCGTACAAAAAGCACCTGGCAGTGAGGTGGTATTTTACCCTCGGAAGGGCGTATTTCCATCTCCTACTGAGACCTGGGGAGATACTTATGAGCAATATAACTAACATCGAAACTAAAAAGTAGCACCAACAGGAGCCACAGAAACTGCACAGAAAGTTGTAAGAAAAATACCGAAATATCACAGGAGGCCCTTTCCGTTCTTTGTGTTTTCACAAAAAGATGGCCTCCCAGAACAGGACTCCCGATGGGAAAATGTCGGCTGGTCTCCTGGCCTTATTCATGCAAAGGATGAGGGAACATGCACCCGTTCCCTGAACCTGTTTCCCAGACATGAAATGCTTGGAAGACTCACAGGATAACTATTCTGAAGGGGGAAAGTCTGAAAGTTATGAATGTGTCGTCTTGTAAGCATATGTGGATATAAGAAGAGATGGACCCCTTAAGGAACTCTCTCAAGAGCATTCAGAGAGCCCTAGCTGGTTTGGCTCAATGGATAGAGCGTCAGCCTGCGGACTGAAGGGTCCCAGGTTCGATTCCGGCCAAGGGCATATGCCTGGGTTGCAGGCTCGATCCATGAGGAGGCAGCCAATCAATGATTCTCTCTCATCATTGATGTTTCTATCTCTCTCTACCTCTCTTTCCTCTCTAAAATCAATAAAATATATTTTTTGAAAAAAGAGCATTCAGAGAACTGCAAATCAGGAATATGTTTGCTGCGTCACCTTGGCCACAAGGACCTCAGCTTTGAAATGTCCGGAACTTTGCACGATGTCGGCCTTCGCACAGCAGGCCACCCTGGGCTTTCCCCGCGATCCTCCATCCTCCGGGAATCGCTGAGACTAATTTTGGAAAGCCCCGGCCTCCGCGTCCCACTTACCTTCGCAGGGTAGCTCTCTTCTCCGTAGCCTTCCATCCTCTCCACCTCCTGCATGTACAGCATTTCCGCCTCAGGAGCTGCGAGCCCTCTGCAACCCAAACGATGTCAGTGAGATTAGCCACAAAACTAAAAACAAACAAACAAAACCACGGAGCTTTTCTAAAACACTACATATGGATTTGGCCTAAAACAGTATAAACATTTCAAGTTTCTAAGCATCTGCCATCGGTTATATCAATCCAATATTTACTGAAAATTGGCTACATGCAAAGCATGGTGCGGCACACTGAGGTTAGTTATGGAAGATCTTCTCCCTGCGCTTTAGACAGGCGAGGGGAACGCAGGGAATAAGACAACCCCTGGAACATCTTTGGGAAAAGCTAGGATTCTTTCCAAACCACTGAGTAACTGCTTATTATCCAAACTATCAGGGGATACTAAGCATCACGTGCTCAATGCCAAATTATAAAAGTGCGGAAAGTAAGAGTTAGGACAGTGATTCCCAAAGTGGGCGCTACCGCCCCCTGGTGGGCGCTGCAGCGATCCAGGGGGGGCGGTGATGGCCACAGGTGCATTTGTTTTAACTTTTTTTGTATTACCTTTCTATTCTGAGTTCAATAAATAGTTTCATAATTTCAAACTTCAATGTTTCTAATTTACACCTTTCTTTACTATATTTTACGAAAAAGGTAGAAACATTAATACATATATCTTTCTGTTTAATTGCTATTAAAATTTTAAAAAAATTAATTTCCAGGGGGCGCTGAGTAATATTTTTTCTGGAAAGGGGGCGGTAGGCCAAATAAGTTTGGGAACCACTGAGTTAGGAGGACGGAAATCCTTTTTAGCTCCAGTGACACAATTACAAGGATGGGTAGGTAGGAAGGGGGTGTGGGCAGCCAAAGTGCTCAGCTGCATGGGGACTTGCCTCTCCAGCCTCATCTTCGCTGCTCCCCCACACCCACAGGGCACCCCACACCTCAGCCATCCCCAACTCTGCCTTTCTGTGAATACACCACGTTCCCTCAGGCCCTGGGCCTTTGCACACACTGATCCCTCTTCCTAGTAGACCTGTCACTCACCTGTGCACCTCTCCTTCAAGGCTTGGCCTCTGTACCCATCACTCCTCCTCTGTCACCTGCTATGGTCCCCGAGTCTAGGTCAGACATCCCCGCTCTACACAAACCCACCACATTCTGTGCACATTTCCCACTGCTCCCACATTCCATTCTTACTATTCTAACTGCCTGCTGGTGGGTTGTCCTGCCTACCCCTTAGACTGCAAGGCAGGAAACGCATCCTCTGATGGCAGGGGATTGTCCAACTTATCTCTGTGCCACTACATCTTTTAAGGGGATGCACAAATGAATGACTGAAAGTAACAAAAGGCGATGTAGGCCTGAGGGATTAATTGTGCTGGGAGGGGGGGGGGGCGTGCATGGTTCATTTCGGGCAGAAGGTAAAGCTGGAAAGGCAGGATTTAACCAATTCATAGGAGGCCTTTAATCCCAGGGGCAATGAACTCAGACTAGTGAAGAGCAAAACCAAGTTCATGAGCATCTGAGAAGGGGGGTGAGGGGGAAGAAGAGAGGAAAGTGATGTTTTAGGAAGATTAATCCTTTGTGAGCGACTGTATGGATTTGAGTGAGGGGAGACCAAAGGTTATTTTTAATGGGGGGGGATGAACAATAGGTTATAATTAGACAGACCTGGGTCCAAATCCCACCTCTACCTCATGTAACTTTGGGCAAGTTATTTAGTCTTTCTGAGCTTGGCTTCCCCAATCTGTAAGGAGATAATAACATTGACTTAAAGAGTGGTTATAAGAATGTAATGAGATATCACATACTTGGAACCGTGCATCTGGTTTAGAATGGAGACCTAGCATTCTCCAGGTGAGGGTTTTTCTTACAACAACGCGTACAGATTCACAATCCAAGAACGTCATTGTCTACCCGGGACGGTAGGTCAGGGCAGTAAGCACCGTAGCTCTTAGCACAGCTTCCCCGGAGGACAGAGATACAGCTTCCAAAGGTGCAGAGGAGAAAAACCCTGTACCTGCTGCATCACATATGAAAAAGAAGCCCCTCCAACCTTGAACTGACCTACACAGGACTCGGTTAGCGCCAAACCTTTCATACTCGGGGTGGAGGATGGGCACCCTTTCAACGTTCTCAGCCTCCTCGTGGGGACAACATGGATAATAGATGAGGTAATATGGTAAGTGCTTGGACCAGCACGCGGCACAGTGAGTGCTATGAAAATGCGGGGACTCTCAGGAGGGGTAGCGGTTGCAGCAGCAGCAGCGTTAAGTGCCGAATTTCACTGTGTCAACACACATTTCAAGTTCAAACAGGCACTGGCTCCATACCATTGCCCTGTCTTATTTTCTTAGCATTACCTGTATTTCTGATGCAGTAAGGCCACCTTTTGGGTTGCTTCTTCCAATACCTTTTCATCTTGTAACCAGCCCTGAAGAAAACACACAGCAGTAAGTATGTACACAAGTCACCCCGATTTCTCAGGAAGAATCGTTGCTGCTGACTCTACCCAACTCTCGTCGCCAACAGGCAGAAGCAGGGCTGGTAGGAATGCGAGGGAGCTTGGCTTCAGCACGTCATCATGGTCTCCCTAAGGCAGTGGTCGGCAAACTGCGGCTCACGAGCCACATGCGGCTCTTTGCCCCTTGAGTGTGGCTCTTCCACAATATACCATGTGAGCAAGCGCACGTAGGGCGCGGTCTGAGACTTACAGGCTTGGCCCAGTGGGTGGCCGGTAGTATGACACCCGCGCTCACGCGCTGGCAGAGCAGCCTGTCAGAAGAGAACCACTTCCAGGGGGACTCCGTGACAATTTTCCTGCCAAGGGAAAG